TATACAGTTACGCTTTATAATATTACTGATTGTAAATGAAGTAAAGAAAGTATCTGTTAAAAAATTTTTCCTTTTATTTAGAATTCTTAATTAAACAGGATCTTTTGGAAGTTTTTCACGGTTGAGATAGATTTAATTAGAAAAGATTCAGTTGAAAGATAAATACTAAATTTTGCAAATTTTTTGTTAAAAAGAGAAAAAGAAAATTTCTTCAAATAAAAACAAACAATCACTTCAATAGTATAGATATCATTTTGTATGATTTTTTTTTGAATATCAATGATAAACTATAAAAAATTTTGATCTTATAAAAAAGTTGTATTTCAAAGTTGGTTATGATTAAAAATTAAAAATAATCAAAATATAAAAACTATTCATAATTTATTTACTATGCATATTATCCCACACTTTAATATGCCATGCAGTATACCAATGAATAAAATAAAGTGCGCATACTTCCCTGCATAATCTAAAATTAATAAAATAATAAATAACAGCTTTTTTATTTCACTGAGTTAAAGAAAAATAGAAAAACTTTTAATGACAGGAAGACAGAGAAAAGGAATATGTAAAACCGACTAATTTTTTTTGTTCAATCATTGCCTATCTTTCATTCTTATGCAGTGTTATTTATTTTCCTTTCTTATGTTATCCATCGAAAGCAATTTCGTTTTTTTCTTCCTCTCATATCAAAAAGTTCAAAAAAACCAAAACTATCGCAATCGCCAATCTCACCATCCACTCATCAACATCATCATCAACATCATGATCAACATCATCATCATCATCATCATCATCAACATCATCAACATCAACATCACCATCAACATCAACATCATTAACATCATCATCATCATCACCATCAACACCATCAACATCAACATCACCATCAACATCAACATCATTAACATCATCATCAACATCATCATCATCAAAAAAAAGCTCACAATTTTTATCATCATACAACATTTTCATGTGTTCGTTTGTTCCTTCACCTGGCTTGAATGAGTTAGCAGCTTATGATTGTGATGGCTTCTCTCTCATAAGCCTACTTTAAAAATGCTTACTATTACTACTGTTTGGGCTTAGCCAAATAGCACAAACATTCTAGGCTTTTAAGGCTACTGTGAATGTCAGTGCTATACATAAGGCAAAATATTATCTTGCTAAATCTAAAAAAGAAAGCTACCCTTAAAGCATTAAAAGGATGGATACTAACTTGACCATATAATTCCTGCACTTCATATTACCAGCCATTATGGTATTTCCATAGTAATAAAATTTAAATAATTTTATGAAAAGTTGAACGTTTTGCTTACCTAAGTAACAAAATATTGAAGGCGGTAGTTTCATTCAAATTCTATAGCTAAATTTATAATTTTATTCTTGATAAAATCACTTAAATTTATAATAAATTGTTATTTTAAACTTATAATAAATTTAAATTTATAATAAATACTATTTCATTTTATTCTTTTTCTTATCATCAATACCTCTGTTAGCAAAGCGAAATTAGCAAATTGAATTTAATAAGAATGAAAAAATCTTTATGCTAGGAAAGAGAAACGAAAATTGAATTTGTCGCATCGCTGCCACCAATTAGCACAACAACTCACCATGATCAGTTGTTACCAACCAGGTGCGCTATGACAATATTAATATTCACACATACAATCATTTCATGCTCTTACAATTGATACATTCTTATGATATTAACAATGGTGGAATTTTTTTTACGGAACGAAAAATGCTTCAGTCTGATCTTTTAATTGATCACACATACTGTCACGATTAAAATGTTACTATCAAATTTGTTACAATATCACAACTGATATTAATAAGTACGAATTCTAATACTCTTCATCACACTTATCAGTTCATTTATTATTTATTAATCTCAATTATTTATTGTATTTATTATTAGCACTTAATTATCATTACCAGTAATTTCGTTATCTTATCATTTATTAGCAAGAATTTAAAGCTTTTATAGCTGTCATCTCCTCTTTAAAAAACTAATTTCATTTCAATAAAAATTATTATTTATTTACTGCTAGTACTAATCATAAAATTACATCAAATTTAAATGGACATTATCCACACTGTCTGTCTTAATTCATTCATATATCTATCAATCTTTTTCGATTATAAATTATTGATTATTGATAAGAATAGTAAAAACATTTCAAAAATTTACAATTATTACTACTAATATTAAAATATTATTATTTACTAATATTAAAGTATTATTATTTGTATATTTACAACACACACACACACACAAAACACATAGGGAGAGAGAGAAAGAGAAAGAGAAAGAGAGAGAGAGAGAGAGAAAGAGAAAGAATTTCTTATGACAAGGAATACGCATTTCTGTATGAATAGTTCAATACAATATCAATTAATATGAATCAATACCAACATAATATAAATAACATAATATAAACACATACACACATACAGCATACACATACACACATATATAACCAAACTAATATCATCACATAGTTAACGAATTTTTTTTCTAAATTTTAGCAATAAATAAAGAAATAATCTATTATTTTCTGACTGATTATTCTCTGTAAGTGATTTATTTTGAATAACTCTCTCATTCTCTAAAAGGTAACTGAATCTGAAAGCTGTCGGATAATTTTGTTATAACATGCATTTCGCAGAAAAACTATCAGTTAATCTCACACTATCTCTTTTCATTGGGAATTAACTTAATCCTCAAATTAAAAAAAAAGACTAATATTTTTACTATAAATAATGAAAAAAAGAAACAGAAGGGAGTGTCAAAAAATTAACACCAAACAAGTCGTCATTGGTTCAGGTTCATTTAATACTTTCAGAAAGATATTTCAAATTACCTCTGACGTAAATCAACCTTATAAACTTTTTTTTACAAGAATGATTTACTTGTTTCGAATTGGAAGATTCATCTCTTCCAATTCGAAACAAACTGATTGTTTATAAAACAATGGCAATAATAAATTTCGATTTTCTACGTAAATCAACCAAAATCACCAAATGATGATGATAAGGCTTACTTATAATTCAAAAATTAAAACAGTTAAATATAAACGTACCTTGAAAATATTTTCCTGATTTTGAACCTTATTTATAATCTGAGTCTTCCCAGAAACGTTTTAGTAACGTATTCGTATATCGTAATAAATCTAAAAATGATTTTTTTTTTTTCATTATTTTTTCACGCTCTAACATTTTTAATAAACAAAAAAATAAATACAACAAAATTTTGTATTTTTCTTTTTTGTAAATATCATTAATTAAATTTATAATTTCATCTAAATATTACAATTCACAATTCAATTATCCTACTAAATAAATTACTGAAATATTTAGTTTTCGGAAAAAAAATTTTAACCTTTAAAAAATCAACCTACCTTTCTTCCCTTTTAAAATATTTCACTTCAGCTTCAGTAGTACTTCTTCTCCTTTTTTTTTACTTCGTAATTTCTCTCAATTTTCCTTCCTTCACCAATAAATACTGGCCAATTCTTCTTTTAAGCCAAGTGGAAAATTGAAAGAAAAAACTTTTTGAATGGCAATGGAAGAAGAAAAGAGTTATATTGTAGAGTAAAAAGGCGAAAATGGTTATAATATATGTACGTACGTACGGCAGCCAGGTATTTTCCGCTCCAAGGAACCGGATTACACGGGTACGTATTTATCGATGTCCCACCAAATGAAAAACGAGATTCAATTTTGCATATTAGAATGAAATGGGGAAAATAGTTATGGTAGTAATATGAATGAAACTGTGCTGATTGTTCGCCATTATTAGAGCTCTCTGCAAAGAGGTAAAAAAAGAAGAAATAAAGGATAAAAAATTTTTTCAAAGTTTTCAAAATAACCTTATCACATTCATATTCGTATTTGAGTAATAATAAAAAGACGAAAAACAAACGCAATATGGGGAAGTATATATATATATATATATATACCATTACAGGAGCATCCAGTCGTATTTACTTTCATTTTCAGTCTGATATTATAATTTGAATGATGAAATTTAGAAATTAGAGAATGCAACTTTAATATTCTTTAAATAATTTAACATTAGGTTTTATGGAATGAATAAATTTCTAAAGGTCAAAAATTTTAAAAAGCGTTAAAAATTGTATATGATATGAAAATAATGATGAACATTGTAATTATCTGACATTTTCCTAATAATTGTTATTTCCTTCAATAGTAAATAGTATATTTTATTAAAGAATAAATAGAAATTTAATCTTAAATTTCACACAATTAATCAATATCAATGAATAGAATAAATATTAATCAATATCAGTAAGCAATATAATATTTCAATTGTTATCCAATGAATCTTTGCAACATTTTATCGTATGCATATATTTCATTGCGTATAATGAATAATTTACATGTAGGCACGCACGTATCTACGCACGCGAGTGATAAGTAAATAGAGACGTGACTGAAATAAGTGCATTAGCACTCGCATATGCAAACGGGTATTTTATATTTTTAATTGTTTATATTAAAATTAATTCAAATTAAGGGAACGAGAATGTTAAGTTTAATTTATTGAAAGAATGTGAAGAAACGAGAATTATGATAAAATTATGGCGCATTTACATTAAAATAGCAAAACACCGAAGTATACCTTCGGTATTTTGCCAAATTTATGCTTGAAAGCGACGAATAGACGGTAGAGACATACTCTCTTCTCCTCCTACAAATGGACATCGGCCATTTTCTATCGTCCACTTTTCAGGATGAATCAATGAGATGAGTAGGGATGAAAAGCTTTCTAACTGTTGTATTCATTAACTTCATATTAGCAGTCTTAGAAAGAAAAGATTAATGAATTAAGAGATGAAAATTTGTTTAAAAAAAAATTTGTTAAAAAATCTTGTTAAAAGATGATTGCTAGGGACATTCAAACTTCAAATGATAAAAAAGAAAAAAGAAAATAATGGAAGGGAACATTATTACTACTCACTAAATTTAAAATTAACTTTTTACCTAACATCGTTCTGACATTGATGAATTATACACATCACGACGCTTACTACATTTACACCATTTCCATTGATCATTACCAGCAATTATTTAGAATGATAATAATAATAACGATGATGTCATCAAAGTATTCTCATTTGCTAATTGTTGTTAAAATCTTCTTACCAACAATAATTATTACCTCCTCTTCTTTTTTTCTTTTTGCTCAGTTATTTCTTTGAGATTATTCTAGAAAGAGAAGAAATGCCGAAAAAAGAAAAAAAAGGTCAGTGATAGGGTTGCGACATTCATCCCTTATAGTTTCATATATGTGCAGCCCTTCTTCTTCTTCTTCTTCTTCTTTTGTACCTCTTTTCACCTCACATCAACTACATTCTATAATAGGTGAAGAAAGATGGTTCAATTCGATTGCTGGTTGGACAGATGGCTGACTGGTTAGTTGGTTGGATGGTTGGATAGTTGGATGGATGGACGGACGAATGGATGGATTGGTTGGTTGGTTGGTTGGTTGGTTGGATGGATGGATGGATGGATGGATGGATGGATGGATGGATGGATGAATGGATGGATGGATGGGTAAACAAAATGCATTTCTAAAATACTTACTGCTTTCACTTCCACATGATATTCATCGATGGAAGCGCCATCACCACCATCATCATCACCATCATCATCAACCAACAAACCAAATCAACTATATATTTACCATGTCAATATAATGAGCTATGCTCCTTAATGGTACTACTACCACCATCACCATCATCATCATCATCATCACCACCACCACCACCACCACCACCACTATTACTCATTGTGCTAATCGATCGTGTTCTCCATTATTATTATCATCAACATCATCATTAAGTTAGCCAAATGTATTGAATCGATTATTTCTTTTATTCAAATATGAATGAATGAATCAAATGAAACATATTTCTCATAATTTAAAAATATTTCAAATTAAA